CGGGGGAACCAGGACCAGAGGGTTCTGGGTTCTAGTTTTAGTCCCCGGGGGAACCAGGACCAGAGGGTTCTGGGTTCTAGTTTTAGTCCCCGGGGGAACCAGGACCAGAGGGTTCTGGGTTGGAGTGGTGGTATTTCCTGGTTCTGGTCAGAACTGGAGCAGTTGGTTCTGGATGTTCTGCAGCCGGATCACAGCTAGTTTCAGGGCCCAGACTGTAGTATTTACTGACTAAATTCATTAAAAATAAACAACAAAAACAACAACAAACAGCCAGCTCACCAGGGGCTGTCACCTGGTTTCACAGGCTGATTAAAAATTCTGGAGCTTTTGGTTTGGTTTTCTGATGTCTTGGTCTGGCCATTTCCTGTTTTATTTTGATTTTGAGATGACTCTCCTCTTGTGTCTTCCCTAATTCCTGATTGAGTCCTCCTGTCCCTCATGAGATCTTACAGTCTCCTCTGGTCTTGTGCCTGAAGGTTTTAGATGTCAGATCACTTCTGCTCTCTTGGTCCTTGTCTCTTTACGTGAGTCAGAGTCTTGTCTTGATTTAATCTCCAAGAGGGAGTTTAGTTTTCTTAGTTTTATAGCACTGTCCATCCTCCTGGTGGAGGATTTTCTGTTTTCTGTTTCATGGCCTCGTGGTTCCTCCGTTTTCTGGAGTGATTTTTGTTTGTCTTAACTTTCGATTCCTCCCATTAGAAGAGGGATTTTTTGTTTGCTAATAAGTTTCCTGGCCTTGTTTTGCCTCCATTAAAGGAGATTTTTTCATTTCAGTAATGTTCCTCTGACTTTGGAGTCATTTTTCTATTTGTTGGAGATATTTCATGGCCTTGAACCCTCTCGTTGGAGACGCTTTTCCCTGAACCAGAACTTTTCATAGCTTGTGGATGTTCTCTTCTGTGGAGAACTGATCAATTAAGAATTGTGCAAAGTGTCCTAATTAAGACTTGTGGATCCTACATCTGTGTCCTGTCCCTGATCCCAGATCGGGACTCTCTCCCTGTATACCAGGGGTCGGGAACCTTTTTGACTAAGAGAGCCATGAAAGCAAAAAATTTGGAAATTTATTTCAGTGAGAGCCATATAATATATTTAAAAAGTGAATTAAACTAAATGTCAGTATAATAAGCCTCTGAATTTATTCTTTTG